CTAAAGCTTTAGGCCGACGCACCTTAAGATTCTACAACTGAAGCACCTTAAGCCACACAGTACAAAAATCACTCACATTAAGTACAAAAACCACACACATTAAATTTGACCTAGATGCAAAAAGACCAAATTGTCACCGCGTGTTTTATAATCATTGTTAATCTTGGACATTGATTTAGGCAAGATCAATAGCTTAGATTTAATCGCACAACCGCACCTGACACCCCCAACCGTATGGGAACCCATATATATATATATATATATATATATATATATATATATATATATATATATATATATATATATATATGTATGTATGTATGTATGTATGTATGTATGTATGTATGTATGTATGTATGTATGTATGTATGATACATACATACATACATACATACATACATACATACATACATATATATATATATATATGTATGTATGTATGTATGTATGTATGTATGTATGTATGATACATACATACATACATATACATACATATATATATATATATATATATATATATATATATATATTGTTCAAATGCGGATCCGTCCTCCCGTGCGGCAATGCGGCCGCTTGAACGTTTTAACAAAAGTCACCAATAGTGTTAGGAAAAAGCACAACAATGAAATGCACAAATACACCAAAAAACATTCAACTGCTTGTATAGTAGACCTCAGTCCTATATAATCTTTATATGCCTGACCGATCTTAACCGGCCTGGTTAACAGTTGGGATGGTTCTCAGCCCATTCAACTGCCCGTATAGCCCACTTGATCTTAACCAAGTTGGGAGATCATGCATCACATAACACATATTAACACACAATAACACATAGTAGCATATTGGGAAGGGGGAGACATATAATTAAGCTTACGTGTGATCATTCACATACTAAGAATAGTCCTAAGGGGTTCATACGACTTTCACCTAGGTCGACGGATTACCGATTCAACTAGCATGCAATTCCTAAGACTCTTTTATCCTACGAACAGCACCCAAAACATCGAACTAGACTCAAGCACGACAAGCGGAGTCCGTTGGGACACCACGGGGAATGGGGAACATCAAACGGGGAAGTCGGGGACCCGGGGTGGGTAACGGACCAGCAGGTAGCCGGTGGGTGAGGGATCACCCGCCGGCTGCCTACCGAAGATCACTGCCCGGCAGCGGGTTGCTGGCGGGCGGACGCCTGCCCGGCGGTGATCCTCGGGCAGCGGGTAGGTGGCGGGTACCCCTACCCCGCACTGACTCATTCATCACAAATCCGTCCCGGGATTCTTTGTGGAACCCGAAACCATGCTTAGACACTTTTAAACGCAATTAATGACACCACGTAGTCAATTAATGGATCAAAAGCAAGAATCACGTATAACTCATCCTATCACGACTTCTAAACGTAAACAACACCCGAACATGCGAATTCCACCCAATATATATCAAGAACATTACAACACAAATTCCCAATCCATCCTAGGGCTCTAATCCCCCCCAAACCATCAAAGTCACAATTTATCTTTAACATCAAGAAATATCAAGATTTGTCAAGAATCATTACATCAATGTCAAGAACCTCTTTTCATCATCAAGATTATCAAGAATACACACAAATCATCTTATCAATCATCAAGAATATATCACAAATAGCATAGAGGTATTAATCAAGACACAAGCATATAGAAGGAGGCCAATGAAGGAGATTATAACGAAGAAAATAGGTTTTGTTGAGACATGAGTTACCTCTTAGCCTTAATTAATTTCCTTGGCTATGAAGGGTCTTTCTTTAAGATTTCTCCTTTCTTGATTTCTCCTAATGGAATTCTTGGAACTTCTTGTGTGGCGAGAGATTATTTGTGGTGTGAGTTCTAGGGGCCTCCTATGTCCCTATTTATATAATTAAGAGTCCTAATTAGGGTCTAAGTGGCATGCGTTTACTAATCCTATTTCTTATAGGACTAAGGGGTTTGGCTTTGGGGATAAAGGGCCCATGGACCATGGTGGACCCCTTTTTAGCTAATTAATGGATTTTAATTCCCTTTTTAGGGTGGGTGATAATTTAATTTATTTTAATTTAGGGGCTGTAATACGGGGTGTTACAATGATGTTCTTGATATATATTTGGGTGGGAATTCGCATGTTCGGGTGTTATTTATGTCTAGAGGTCATAATAGGATGAGTTCTACGTGATTCTTGCTTTTGATCAATTAATTGCCTACGTGATGTTGTTAATTGCGTTTAAAAGTGTCTAAGCATGGTTTCGGGTTCCACAACGGACCCCGGGACGTAATTGTGATAAAAGAGTCAGTGGGGGGTAGGTGGGGGTAGGGGAACCCGCCACCTACCCGCTGCCCAAGAGAACGCCACCGGCAGCAGGCAGCCGCCTGCCCACCGGGCACCCGCTGCCCGGAGGATCGTCGCCGGCGGGTGGCCTTCCACCCACCGGCTATCCGATGGTTTGTTACCCACTTCGGGTCTTTGGCTTCCCTGTTTGATGTTCCCCGCTCCCCCATGGTGTCCCAACGAACCCCGTTTGTCGTGCTTGAGTCTAGTTTGGTGTTTCAGATACCATTCGTAGGGTAGAAGAGTCTTAGGAATTGCATGCTAGTTGAATCGGTAACCCGTTGACCTAGGTGGAAGTTGTGTGAACCCCTTAGGACTATTCTTAGTATGTGAATGATCACACGTAAGTTTATTTATATGTCTTCCCCTCCCAATGTGCTACTACGTGCTACTATGTGTTATGTGATGCATGATCCCCCAATTTGGTTGCAATCAAACTGGGTGTTCCCGAGCTGCGGTTCGGAAGTTGGCTGAAGGCCGAATTGATTGTTCCCGAGCTGTCGTTCGGAAGTCGGCTGAAGGCCGAATTGATGATTCCTGAGCTGAGGTTCAGAAGTTGGCTGAAGGCCGAATTGATTGTCTATGAGCTGCGGTTCATCTTCCTGACTGCGGTCAGTGATTCACTTCTTGTGCTGCAGTCCACATGGGCCTCGGGTATGATTTCCCACCGAACTGGACGCGCCAGGCGGTGTGTAGGGCCAATAAACCCGAGGAAGTCTGTAGTCCACCGACCTGAGTAATCAGGCAGTGTGTAGGGCTACGGCTGGCTGCGATCCACCGAGTGATGGGACAGCGGTGTGTAGGGTCGTAGTCTCCAAGGATCTTTGCCTACCGACTGAGTCCCTCAGCGGTTTGTAGGGCTTGATCCGCTACGGTCCACCGACTGTGCGCATCAACGGTGTGTAGGGTCGTATGTCCCCCCTTGTAAAGGGGATCACAATCCACCGACTGTGCGCGTCAGCGGTGTGTAGGATTGTGGTCCGACGTTGAGTTCGTCAACGGTTCTCAAAGGGTTGGTTGCGATCAACTCCCTTCATGCCGCGGTATGAGGTAGGGTGCTGCGGGGCCGTGTTAATGCTATATGCATTAACCCTCATGTTCGGGGCATGCGATTGGTCCCGTGGCGCCATCAATGATTATGTGATATGAATGATGCCTGTATGATGATGTGATTAAAGTGAAAAGTGATCTGTGACCTTAGACGCGTATTCCTTATGATGTTATCTCTACTTAACTGTTTATCATTGATTAATGTGTTTGTCCCTATTTGCTGAGTCTATTCCTGGTTTTAAAACTAGAGTCTCCTAAGTATATATCTTCCTGCTTCAAAATGATTTTCCTATATATATATATATATATATATATATATATATATATATATATATATATATATATATATATATATATATATATATACCTATATTGTATTTCAACACGTTGGAGTGGGTTACCAGCATCTCTCGCTGAACAGATATATTTGGCTTTCAGGCACAGATGAGTAGACCCCGGAGCACGCTAGAGATCCGAAGCGTAGATTAGTTAGTTCCCCTTTCGGCCTGCGTGCCATGCTTATGTATTGACATTACATTGAGGATTTTAGTTAGTTAGCCTGTGCACCTGGGTTCTCTAGCTCAGGTGTGGCATAGCACCCCAGACACTTATGTTTAGAATGCTCCATTTGGGATTTATTTAATAGAATTGCCTTCATATTATAAGATTGAAAAGTTTTAAAATTTCGGGGTGTTACAGCGCGTATTACAAGAGATTTGATGATAATCAGTTTATCATCTTGCTATTATATGTTGACGACATGTTGGTAGTAGGCCCCAACAATGATCGTATCACGGAGATGAAGTCTCAACTGGCTAGGGAATTTGAAATGAAGGACTTGGGACCAGCAAACAAGATTCTAGGGATGCAAATTCACCGAGACAGAAATAATAGGAAGATTTGGCTTTCTCAGCAGAATTATCTGAAGAAAATCTTGCGGCGCTTCAACATGCAAGATTGTAAGTCAATTTCTACCCCTCTTTCTATTAATTTCAAGTTATCCTCAAGTATGAGTCCTAGCAACGAAGCAGAGAGGATGGAGATGTCTCGAGTACCGTATGCATCAGCAATGGGCAGTTTATTGTTTGCTGTGATCTGCACTAGACCAGACATTGCACAGGCAGTGGGAGCGGTCAGTCGATACATGGCGAATCCTGGTAGAGAGGATTGGAGTGCTGTGAAGAGGATCCTTAAATATATTAAGGGTACCTCAGAGATTGCATTGTGTTATGGAGGATCAGACTTCGTCATTAAAGGCTATGTGGATTCAGATTATGCAGGTAATCTTGATTGTAGTAAATCCACCACGGGTTATGTGTTTACTCTTGCTGGCGGAGCAGTAAGCTGGGTCTCGAAGTTGCAGTCGGTTGTGGCAACTTCAACGACGGAAGCAGAATATATAGCGGCTACTCAAGCTAGTAAAGAGGAAATATGGTTGCAAATGCTAGAGAAAATTACACTTTTGGTGCTGTGACTATTGTTGTCTTGTTAATTTGAGTATTTGACTTTCAAAATTATCAATTTAGTCCCGTAACTATGTAATTTTTAACACATTTAGTCCTCCCGGCCAAATGATGCCGGAAAAAACTTAAATCTTTTTAAATTTTTTATTTTTGGGGGTAAAAGGGTCATTTTAAGTCATTTCTTCTTCATCGTTCTTTCTTCTTTTTCGTTTGTTTAATACACTCATAATCAATCGGCCATGGATGAATGCACGAACGTGGAAAGCATGGTGGTAAGTCGGCAGCAGCTGGAGGCAAACTAGGCAATCTGAGCCGTCCACCGCTCCATCTCCCTCCTAGTATTTTATCTGGGCTTCACCTAGCCTATTTTTGCCAGCGACGTTGCAGGGCTAATCCCTCTGCCGACTTCTTCTTCTTCAGGCTTCACACAATTGCCGCTTCAACATTTTGAATATCCATCTTGGCGACTCAAACGAGGCAACGACTCCACGCTCCTGTGAGCATAGTAGACGAAATTATGTTAAATTATGTTATGCATCGCCGTCCGTTGCAGCACCGGCACCTCCCGCATAGGGTCCCCTCCCACGATGTAACCCAAGGAGAATATTAAGGCATCCATTGCCGGTTATGATCCGACAAGCAGGTTTTCTGGCAGTTCTGGTTTGCTTCCCCATCCTCGCATATCTCGTATACGCCATGGCAGTAGAACTCGCCCTGAAGATTGCCATTGCAGAAGTTATAGCTTCTGGTATAGCTTTTGCTATTACCGGCTTAATTAACCTAGCTATCTCGCACCCCACCACCCAACAGCCCAACACAAACAACAATAATAATTAATATTAACATTACATTTTAGCTAGAAACCACAATGGGATAACCTTATATACAGGATTATGTTTGTGTTGGACCACCCTTTATCTTGTACATGCAGGTTGGGGCATTCGTAATTAATGTCTAGCTTAAATTTAATCATGATACATACATATATATATATATATATACATATATATATATATATATATATATATATATATATATATACATATATATATATATACATATATATATATACATATATATATATATGTATATATATATATGTATATATATATATATATATATATATATATATATATATATATATACGCAGCCGGTGGTTTGCGGGCAGTTCCCGAGCTCGCAGAGGCAAATAATGGGAAGAACCAGAGAGGTCAATGCGATAATCTCATTGTCGAGGGTGAACATTTTGGCCCAAATGTTCCTGACAGAGATGGCGAATGATAGAGCAGTGACGCCTAGAATGAAACTTCCGGTGAGGCCGACAATGGCGAAGACGCTGAAGCTGAGAGAAGACGGGATAATGCAGATTAAAAAAAGTGGTCTGAATCAGAATCCTCATTCCCATGGCTAAGCCGGAGAGGATGGAATATCCGGTGATTTCAACGTGATCTGCCGGTGAAGAATTCATCATATGCCACCTCTATTTTTGCTGTCTTGTAGCCTAGAGCTGAGTTTCCGGTCGTCGCTGCAAGAAGGAAGAAGAAGAACGAAGAAGAAGGGATGGGAAGGAAGAAGAAGACGTGAAATGACGGATTTACCCCATGATTAAATAATTAAATATAGTTTATATTTTTCCGACAACATTTGGCCGGTGATTTGGCCGGAAGGACCAAATGTGTTAAAAATTGCATAGTTACAGGACTAAATTGTTAGTTTTTGAAGTTAAGTACTGAAATTAACAAGACCTCTATACTCACAGGACCAAAAGTGTAATTTTCTCGCAAATGCTATTGGAGGAGCTCGGGCACAAGTTAGAGAAGATTACTCTATTTTGTGACAGTCAGAGCGCTTTGTACCTGACAAAGAATCCAGCATTTCATTCCAAGACGAAACACATACGAGTTCAGTATCACTTTGTTCGTGAGAAATTGGAAGAAGGAAGTGTGGATATACAGAAAATCCATACTAAAGATAACCTAGCAGATATGTTAACAAAGCCTGTTACCAACAATAAATTCGTATGGTGTAGATCCTCAATTGACCTAACAGGAATGGGAAGAGGTTTTCCTAAGGGAATTTGGGATGAGGTTTCCTAAGGGAACTTGGGATGAAGTTTGAATAAGACAAATGCATTAAATGCTTGGGGCATAGGTTTGTAAAGGGGAAAAGCATGGGGCATAGGTTTTATTCAAGGGAAAAGCTAGGGATGAGGTTTTTAGGGCATAGGTTTTGCTTGGGGAAATTTGCAGGAGAAGTTTCTTGCATTGCAAGTTCCTAGGCATTTAATATAATATTAAATGCTTAAGAATTCTCTAGACTTTTTTGGTTGCTATAAATATGCAACATCCTTCATTCATTTGGATCATCCCATCCGAAAATTTCCAGTAGCATAGCAAATTCTGTAGAGAGAAAATAGAGAGTTATATTTGTAATTCCTATTGTATTATCCTTTTGCCAATACAGAAAAAATTCTTCTTCAAATTGCCTTGCTTTGTGTATGATTTATTTTAAATCTTACACTAGAATTTATTCTCAATATCTCCCGTTCAAGTTGCTATTGTAAATTTGGTGTTGTGAACCCGTTTTGATCATAACAGTATCATGCACACATAACACATAGCCAAGCACATGCAACCCACATTAGCACATAGGGAGGGGGAAAACATGTATATAAAACTTATGCGTGCTCAACCACATTACAAGAGATATGCCTAAGGGGTTCATACATCTTTCACCTAGGCCAACGGGATACCAATTCGACTAGAATGCAATACATAAGACTCTTTTATCCTACGAACGGTACCCGAAACATCAAACTAGACTCAGGCACGACAAACAGGGTCCAATGGGACACCACGGGGCACGGGGAAACATCAAACGGGGAAAACCACCAAATTCCACATGGAATTTCTAGCGGGTGGCCAGCGGGTGGTCCTCCACCCGCCGGCGGCACACATAAGGCAGCGGGTGCCCGGCGGCTACCCGCTGCCGGCGGCCTTATTGGGGCAGCGAGTACCCCTGCCCCCACCTACCCCCACTGACTCTTATGTAATAAATTGGTCCCGGGATCTTTCGTGGAACCCGAAACCATGTCCAGACACATTTAAACACAAACAATGACACCACGTAATCAAGTAATGGATTAAGATCAAGTATCACATTAAATACATCCTAATTAACATGACTCCTAAACATAATCAAGACTCAATACCCGAACATGCAAAATCCCGCCCAAATATACCAAGAATATCATAACATGAAAACCACGATTTACCCTAGGGCTCTAATCATATTTAAAGCACAAGATCATAATTTTTTCTTTAAAATCAAGAACATCAAGTTTATCAAGATCAACACACAATTATCAAGATCCTCTCATAAACATCAAGATTATCAAGATCAACACATAAGATCATCTCATAAACATCAAGATTATATCATAATCATCATAAAAGCTTTATCAAGATACAAGTATAGAATTTCATATCAATGGAGCCAAAGAAGAAGATTATAGCAAGGAAAATAGGTTTTGTTGAGACATGTGTTACCTCTTAGCCTTAATTTAGAATACTTGGCTACTAAGGTTCTTTCTCTAAGATCTCCGCTTCTTGATTTCTCCTACGTTTGGTGATAGGGGAATTCTTGTGTGGTGGAATCTATTGTGGTGTGAATTCTAGGTGCCTCCTATGTCCTTATATATATATATCTAACAGTCCTAATTAGGGTCTGAATAGTAGGGATTTACTTATTCTAAGGGTCCATGGTCTATGGTGGACCCTTCCTAATTAATTAAGGGAATTCAGTTCTCTTTTAAGGGTAAGTAATTAAATAATTAGTTTGGGTTAGAGGCCGTAACACGGGGTGTTACACCCTCCCCCCTCCCCCCTTACAAGAGGCTTCGTCCCTGAAGCATGTGCGTGGATCCATTCTTTCACCGCTGGACTTCACGTATTTGGCCTCCTGAATTTAGGAAATGTGGCTCCACATGTCGTTTGCTGGGGGTAGAGTGGAGCTTGGTGAGGTGGTGTTTGGAAAGTTTGGGTCTACCTTGGTTTCCTGCTCCCGAGCTAGACGCCCCGCGCGTGCCCAACATGGCCTCGATTGCCGCCACTCTCCGATCCAATGAGTGTGTTGCGAGGATTAGGGATGAGAACCCTTCATCCATGATTCAGTTCTGCCGGGTGAGTTGTGCGAGGATGCGCTCATTGACGGATCTTTCATCTTGGCCTTCCGGGTTCCCTCTTTCTTGTGTGGGTGCAGGTGGGTTAGGCTCGTTGTCTTCTTCCTATTTCTCTTGTTCCCCACAGTCTTGCATTGCCCGTCTCAGTTTCTTGTTGGAGATTTCCAACTGGTCAACCAACTCTCGCCGTTCTTCTGTGGGCTTCAAGCAAACCTCCTCGAGGGTGATGTACTGTTCCTCTCCGACATGGTAGATGTCATTGCGGCGGAGGTTCTGGGCATTGAAAACCATTCCACTCATGGGTTTTGTTTCTGTGTGGCTTAGGTCCACCCCTTTTCTTTCCATGATCCAACTTAGGATCATCCCGTAGGGTAAGCTGAGCCGGTTGCTAGACTTGCAGAATTCCATGTGTTTCAGCATAAGGG